CATCTATCTAAATTTTATCGTCGATCCAGTTCGATGACTCTTGCTTACATATGTCTTGTAGTCATTCTTGAAATTTACTTTTAGCGTACATAGTCTTGTTTTCTACTAAACATTTGAACAAACAATAAAATAAACCAGTGCCAGTTCTCCAGATTTCTACAAAAAATTCGGTAGGATCACTCTTTCAGCCAGACCTTGATCAAGTTTCCTGGAAATTCTAACTATATCACTATTCTGCAATTCAAGCACAACACACTTTACTTCACAATTTACCTATGAAACTTCAGTGGAAATCTATCAAGAATGATCAGAAAAATCCTTGTCAATTCCCACTTGAGGAAAAACTAGTTGAATCAAAAAAGGAAATTTTCTTGAAAACTTATAGAACTTCAAAAGTGCAGCTTCATTAGCATACTCTCCAGTGCACTGGAAAAATTGGCTTCGCAAGACATTATGGAAGAAATAAACTACAATAAATGCACTTTCTTCGCAGTTTACGAAAAAAAATTGTCGAAAAAAATTTATAAAAACCCATCGTTGAAAAGATTTTTTAATACGTAGAACTATTAGCAAAAACCATTAAACTTCTTTTTCCTTTTCATTTCATTACTGATGTTCCTTATTCCATAGATTACAACAACAATTTTTTAAAGCGAGAGGATGATTTTTTCAACAGCAAACTTTTATAGCCTCGACAATATGCCTAAATCATTTCTAAAACGTCATTAGAATATCTCGAGTAAAAGGAATTTTTAAGCAAAAACGGCTTCTTTTTTGTCCTTTCCTCTCATTAGAGACGTAAGCACACGAAAACAGAGTAGTTCAGACGTAATTACACTGAATACGTCATTCCGACGTTATCTTAGCTTTTGCTTAAAAGTCATAACTTTCTCGTCACTGACAGTTTCATCGCATTCGCCCATCTAAGTTTCCTTGCCAAGGAACTCCAGAAACAGGAAACGCAAGTGGTTATACAGGACAATTTAATTATTTCCGCAAACCACATCCAATTACACTTCGTTCAGCTTCTTCTTTTGCGTTTCGAAAAAAACCTCTGGCAATCATCTTCCATTCAGTGAAACTGGAAATTCTAAATTTGTGGAAAAGCGCGGTTGCTGCGAGGCGAATGCAAATTTTCAATAATGCTATTTAATTATCTCCAAGCATTATCCTCCCAACAATGCTTGTTTACTATAACGGTCAGGGGGACGGGGGAAACGGGAGGCAGCGGGGGGGGGGGGGAGAGCGGGTTATTGCTGTAGCAATGGTTTATGTTCCCATGCTTCAAATGCATTGTTCGCGGGACAAATGCCTACGAGAAACAGCGTTACGGGAGAGAATGAGTAGCGGGACTTGAAACGGGAAATTTTTGAAAATTTCAATTTTGAACTGTATCAAAGCACCTCGAAAAAAAATCAGTAGAAATAATGAAAAAATAGAAAAAACACAAAAAAATCTAATAAAAAATCTATACCAATAATACTAATATATCTAATCTAATCTACTAATCTATATCATCTTCTACCTTCTTGAATCTATCTAAATGTAATCATAATCTTAGAAGAATTTTCAAAAAATCGGAAAATTGGAGAGCTGAAAATATTTATACCGGTAATTTTGAAAAGAATGAGCTAAATTTGAAAAAAGGAAAAATTGAAGAAATAACTGAGACGCATTTTTGCAGCGCTTCCAGCTCATTAATGAATTTTTCCATAATTTCCATTTTTTATTTTTTTGATTTTTTGCGAAACCCATCAATTCATATGTTTTCAGTTTTCTCCCGTTTATTCATTTTTGTAAGACTACCCGAAAAATTGAAGATGACTATGCCAGATGGGTTAGAATTGAAAAAGCTCTGCATGTTGTTTTGGGTGAAAAATAATGTTTTCTCTATTTTTAGGTGAAAAAATAATATTTTCTTTATACCTTTCAAAACAAATAATGTGTTATGTCAGTTTTTGAGTCTTGTGAGTTGATCTTCGAACGCGATTGGGGTACCGAAGGTCGAAATCGCGTCCTTGACGTTTGACTCACTCAAATTAGGCAATTGAAAACTTTCGAACGAAAAGGAAAATGGCTGGTATTGTTCCCTTGAGTGGAACCTTCAAGGGGAAAACATTCGGTGGTCGATATTCTTCTCAAACCAATTCCCTCAATTCTCTTTCCCTTCTCCCTCATTGTTTATTCCTTTGATTTCCAGAAGTTTCGTAACTGCGAGGGGTAAAAAAGTGCACATCTTCCGACCATCGACAGCAAACATGTGCGATTAACAAACTAGCCGTCGTCGTCCTAGTGGGCAAAGTGGATTATTTTGAAAAATGTAGCATTCTGCCCGTAAAAAAGAGCAGCTTCAACTAAGCCCGCAAGTTTCAGCTTCAGCAACACTGACGAGAAAATATTGCTTTTTCAGAAAAAAACTAATCCGCGCCGGCTTCTCGTCGTCCGCAGCAAAGCCGGCTGATTGCAAGCACAGCAAAATGTGGTTTCTAATGCATTTCTAAATGCAAACGAATGACTTCATTTTTATCCAGCACAGTGTGCCTAATCGACGCACTGCATATGTGCATTATCTCGTCCTTATGCAAGAGTTTTTGCCCCCATTATATGCGCCTTCATTACATGTGCCAATAATAAAGTGCTCATTGCTCGTCTCGTCCGTGCCTTTCTGCCGTCTTCAGCAGCAGCAGCGGCTCTGACAAAGTGAACGCGGTGCGGACAACTGGTCCTAGAGAGCTAAGGAGGAAACATCTTGTATCTCGTCCAAGTCGAGAGTGGTAATTTGAGCTCACACGACCAACAATTCGGGGCTGTGTCTGGCCAGCCCCAACCGCTGTAACGGCTCGTCGGCAGCCCCAGCCGCATACGATTACACGGTAATGGACACACACTCATCGGAGGAGGGGGAGGAGGGGGGGGGATGGAAAAGAGGAACGCTGAAGTAGATTGGAGGCGCCGAGGGAGAAGCGCACGTTAACGAAGCGAACAACTCGACAAAACCGCATTTGGAGAGATGTGTTCTTCTGCCAGAGTGGCAGAAGAAACTAATTCGGGTTTGGATCTTCCTGGGTATGGGGGGGGGGGGGGGGGGAGAGGAGTGATTATCCGGGTGATTGTTGTTCAAAGTAAATAAGAAAATGGCGGAATTGAACTACTAGACAAAACCTGAGGAACGACGTGTTGTGCCAAAGTGGATCAATTTAACGCTCTTGATCTACACGGGTAAAAGAAGGAGGGGAGGAGGAGAGTGGGAACTATTTTCGGCAAGGGCATTACTTCTAGTGGAAAGACGCATTAATCAAAAGTCAAAGCATTATAATAAGGCTTTAATAAATAACAGAAATAATTACACAAATTTCTTGGATACCGCAATTTTATGTGGACATTGTTAAGGGTGATATCAATGAAAATAAAAAAATAAAAATTAATTTGATTATATTAGAAATAGTTGTTATAACCATAAGTTAGCTTTATTAGTGTTTTTCGCGAAAAAATCTATTATTAAGAATTTCGCACTTACTTTTTATTGATGCTTTTTTGGAACTAAATCAAATACATCATAAATCATAGGAATAGAAAAGATTTCACTAAATCTTGATATCGGATGTTCCAAGGCAAAACACTCTGTTAGAAGCTTGCTCCATTAGAAGATAGCAAGATCGTGACATAAATCTCAAGGATACTGTAATTTAATGGGCACGTTGCCAAGGGACAATTTGGAGAAAGGAAAAGGAAATAAATTGCACAACATTTTATGCGCTGTCGTTTTGGAACCTCAAAAATTTTGCTTATACGCTCTTCGTTAATACTTTTCTGCATCACTGATAAAAAATTTCAAAATGTTTGGAGAGAAAAATTTGCTTTATCTACCACTCACCAAAGGACATCTAGGGTTTGTTCAGGTTTTTTTTTCTTGAGATAATTCCAGTTTTATGGTGGAAAATTATTTGAAGCGTGGAAAAAGCGATTAATGCCAAATTGGAGCAAATTATTAACCCAGAATTTTTTGGAGATATACATCGAATCAATAACTACTCGTATCTTTTCTTTTTTTTTTTCTTTTTGACCATTCAATCCTTTCGAACCAAAAAACTGAGCTGTTACCGGATGTCGTGACTCGGAAGCAGAAATTACCGTCAAACTCTCCTATATCGAGTACATGAAACAGGAATTTCACCCACACTTCTGTGAAAAGGGCTTTCCAAACTGCGATTCTCATTGCCGTGAAGTCAGAAAATGTGCGAAAATAAGTGCCATAACGCAATTAGGCAAAAACCCGTTTGCATGAAAGAAGAGAAACTCCTAATTGACATGTGGCAGTTCACGGGGGGAGGGGATGTTTGACGGGTCACAGCCTCTTGAATAAAAGCGTCAATTATCGCTAGGGGAGAATAATGGAATAACGAGAGTGTGGAGAGAAGAGAAGGAGCTGGAGATTGAAGGGTACAAAGCGGTCAGAATGGTCCCGCTGGCCACATGTGTGGCGGCATAGAAGTAAACAAGGACCAATTAAAATGAGCAAAATAGGGAGATAAAAGAGGAGGGGGGTCAAAATGCAACCAAGTAAAATTACTCAAAATATTTGTATGAGATAAGTGAGAATGACGTTAGAAAGGGATAAAAAACGAAAATTTAGGCAAAAAGGAAATAAAGCAGAAATTTTTTGTATGAAAAGTGAAAGTTCAAGGTCAAAAAATATAAAAAGAAAAAATATGAACCTTAAACTTATCTGATAATTACTTTTAAAAAAATTCCAAAATCAAATCTTTTCCCACTATACCGTGTAATTTATGGACAGTTTTCAGAAAATTGTAGAGCCAATTACAGAAAAATGAATAAAAGGGGCATCGAATAAGAGAGATTTTATAAAAATTCAAAATGCAACCGAGTCAAAATACTAAATATTTTGACGAGAACAGTGAGAATGACGGAAACGAGATGGTGAGAGATGATAAAGAAAGGGTAAGACTGGACAGAAATACTGGAAAAAAATTCTAACTAACCTCATTTGTCTTGATTGGCAGTGAGAATAGCACAAAGGTGCATGTTTGAATTACAGAAAGTATGACAGTGCCACCGAGTACCAGATAAAATGGTAATGTCAATTGTGTGTAGATAGCGAATATGGCCAAAATTGCCGGAAACAATGCGTCGTGACCGGGTCGTGACGTGAGACAGTCGACAACCAGCAGAAATATCGTGCCTGAATCGGGCGGCTATGTTTGTTTTTATAGTCCGACACAATGACATAAATCTCATAAAGAAAAGGATTTTAGGTTTAGGTGACTATTGAGACAATTTCTAGGCCAAAAATTCTAATTTTAGTCGATCCTTTGTAAAATTTGTTGATAAAGTAGTAACAAATAGAAAAATAAATAAATAATTTTTAGTAGCCATTCTGGTCCGCCCTAAAAAGGAACAAAACGGATAATTTCCTACGTGTTTTTTTGTTTTTACTAATTCAATTTGTTCCAATTTTTTAACCCTTATATTTGTTATTTCTGTTCCTGTAAAAATTATCATGACACAGCTAGGATAATTTTTCTTGAATTTTACCACTAAAGTTTCCCCCACAAATTTTGCTCCTTCTCTGATCAGAAATTGGGCTCTGACTTATGTATACAAATTTCCCCAGCGGAAGAAGTTTATTGCTGGCAATGCAGGCAATTTTTATTAGTGTAAACACTGCCCTCCTTATAAAGTACTAAAAATCAAACAAAGAAACTGCACTAGAACTTCGTCATCCAGCGTCATTGTCCTTAAAGCTCATTTTCATATTGAATTTAGCCGTATAATTAATGCAAAATTAAATAGCCAAGGAATCAAGGGTAAAAATACTCAAGACAAGAGAAATTGATTTACTCTTACATTTCTAGTTTTTAGATTCAAAAGTTTATTTTTAAAGGTTTAAAACGGGAAAATCTTGTAATGGATTAGCTTTCTATGTTTGAAAACAGAAAAACTTGCCATGGAAACAATATGGTCAGCTTTTCATTGTTTCAAAACGAGAAAATCAAGAATACCAGCGGCCAAAAAGGAGTTGCTTAGCTTTAAATGCTGCTTGAAACCGAAAAAAACTGTTTCAGATAACGAAAAGTTGCTGGGTCTCCTATGCGGTTCGAAAGCAATTTTTTTGTTTAAGAAAAAAACCCGCTTAGCTTTTGAAGTGGGAGAACGACTTTCAATGGAATTCATAGCTATCGACGTGGTTTGAAAACCGAAGGCATTGAGTAAAGACCAAAAGCACACCTCGACCAGAAATTTCTATATCCTTTGAAACGAGCCAGTATCATAAAAGTTGATTAGCTTTGTGTACTGCTTGAAACCGAAAAAATTGTAAAAACAAGGATCAGCTTCCTATTTGCTTTGAAAAAAAGTTTTTTGTGTAAGAAAAAAGTGCCCAAATTTTGAGCGATTTAAAATGGGATAATTACTTTCAATGGGGGTAATATCTTGGGAAAATTACTTTTAATGGAAGTAGTATCTATTTGCCATATGTGGTTTGAAGATAATCAGCCTTGAGCAAGTACGCAATATAATCGATAACTTCTACATATTTTGAAACGGGAAAAAACTGACCAACATCGAAAAAAAGTTGGTTAACTTTTTATGTGGTTCAAAATCGAAAAAAATTATTCCATTGTAAAAAAAGTTGATTAGCTTTTTTGTGGGTTCAAATCCATAACTTTCGTGAAGTTTTATGAAACGTGAAAATCATTTTTGCGCGGCAAAAAAATGCCGATTACATCGAAAATCTCTTAGTAGCACTTTTAGCAAACAAATCATTTAAAGTGTCTTTGTAAGGAGAGTGTTTACCTCCGCAGCGCCTTTCACCGGAAGCAATCAAAGGCGAGAAAAACTTCGCGACGTTAATTTTTTTGCCGAGTTCGCGTGCACCTCTTGAAACGGGAAAAAATTGGTTGCTAGAGTGGCTTGTGAATTTCTGAACAACTGTCAGATTTTTTCTGAAGTTTGAAAACAGTTTGAAAACTAATGATCCTATATAAACGAAAAATTCAAAAAAAACGAAAGATAACTCGAAAATTTTCTTCCCATATTTAGCAGGATATCAAGCAAGTGAGTAGATTTGAGAATCATCAAGTTCAGAAAAAAAATTAGACGAAAGGAAAAAGCTCTTCAGTAATCCCTTGAAAACTTGAAAGCAAATCTGTCAGATCATTATTAAGTTAGAAGATGGCTACAAAAGATAATGATTTCATATTTCAAATGGTATTTTGAGTAGAGAAACTCAAAAATTAATACCTTTTGATTTTCACCGTTCAAATCATTCTAAGTAAGCATACGTAATTCTTGTTCATTGAAAGTAGAGATTGAAATCACAGGACAAATTTTATTGAAAATAGAAAACAGGTTTAGAAAAATTTTTTTTTCCAAGAATTCTGAGCTTGAAAATTTTCAAAAAATTGAATATTCAATTCTTTAAGACATGAGATGGAAATTCAAGTAAGTAAGCTATTGGAAGATGTTTTCGAAAAAAAATTAAACGTACAAATCTGAGCCCATCGAATATGTTGTGGCCGTAGCAGTATGAATATATGGACGAATAGGGTCCCAAGCGCAAGAGCCGCGCACTTGGCAGCGACGGGATCGGGCGCGTGCGCCAGCGCGCGCACAAAGGCGCCGAAGCCGTGCACGCACAGCAGGCGCCGCGTGGCGCCGCGAGCCGCCGCGCTGCGTTGCGTCCAGCGTGCGAACGCCGCCTCCAGCCAGTCGGACGCGAAACCCATCCGACGACTGAACGGGTGGCCGGCGGCCAGCCCGCCCACCCGAGGCCAGCCGCGCCCGCCGCACTGCGTCTCCGCGTTTCGCGCGCACGCTCGTCGTTCTCTGTTGGGTATTCGCTGTAAAAACGCAAGTGTCCACCACTGTCGAATCATCTGCATAAGAATATGAGCGAGAGAGTAAAACAAGGCCGAACATAGTCATAGAGCTAAGTTACGACTTTGTAGCGCAGTAAAATTCGACAAACGAAACAGACGCGGGCTGTTGCCCCGGCGCCGTCACCTCCGGCGCGTGTGTCTTACGAGCTGCTCAAAAACAAACAGAAAACGATCGTCGCCGGTCAGTGCCCGAATAGCCGAGTCGTATACGATTGTCATATGTCTCTTTTCGAGTTCATCGCCGATTCCGCTCACAAAATGCTACCCCCCCCCCCCCAATGGAATCCATTTGTTTGTGCGAGAGGACCTGTTCCTGCGCTTTATTAGCGCTATTTACAGCGCTTTTACCTCTCGCATTACTGTATCATGTACTAATGTGCACGAAATAGTCAGAAAAAACTTGAAGTCGCAGAATTTTTCTTCGGTGAGAGAAGAGTTGCCAAAAGTAGCTAACTTTATTAGAGAGACACTCTCTCATATGGGTAATCGATGTGAAACTTCTGCTGCTAATACCTCTTTCGTGCGAAGGGAAAAGTTAAAGTCAACAATTGAAGTATTTTTTGACGAACTCAGACTGCCATTAAGAGACTCCTAGTTATCAAAATAACAAGTCCAAGTTTGTATTGAAAATTTTGAAACCTGCAAAAATTGGAGCAATTAGTATAGTAGATTATTCGCCTTGCTTCTTTTAACTGAATAAAATTTGCGCCAATTAAATGCCTCTGCAAAAAGTTTTTTCTAAGCAAACTGTGCAGAAAAGCAGATTTGATTTTTCTAGCATTTTTCTCGAAGATCGTGAGTTTCCGTAAAGCATCTAACCAATGCAGGTTTACTCACTTACAGGAAGCAGTGCAAGAAACCCATAATACTAACTGCTCCGATTTTTGAAATTCTCAGATTTTTATGACCAAGCACAGGAAATCAAAATATGGGTAATTTTATACTGCTTTTATTTACGTGGTGTCTGCATATCGCTAAGTGCCTTGCATGCTATTATGAAGCGCATGATTTGTTCTTTAAATAAAAAAGCGCATGCAAATCCGTGGTTAAAAAGGGAAGTTATGAAGAATTTTTGAAATTGATGCGAACAAACTGCCATGTCAACCTAAAACAAGAAAGAAAATTTTCTGTGATTTTGACCTCCTGATTAGTTCCAGCAAATTTCCAGTGGCCTATATGTGTCAGGATTTGCAGACGAGTTGTTTTTATCGCCATCCATGGTATGTATGGATTTTATCATTAATTCTATCAAAATTTTATGAAATAAGATTAAAGAAATTTTTTCAGGGGCATTAGAAACGTGTCCTTCGAATGATCGTATTACAAGTTCCCTTTTCGGGAATTATGAGATAGTTTTTATTATCTCATAATTCCCGAAAAAACCAGAAATATCCCAAGCTTTTTTTAGAGGCCCGCCTAGAACATATTTCGTAATAACCCCCCCCCCTCTCCATCTAAGATCATAATTTTTATTATCTCACAATCAGATCATTAACTCTGGAAGAATAGGGTAGTGTAAAGAAGCTCTAACGATTTTGTATATAAATATTTTTTTCAGTACTTTAGTGTGAAAGGCTCGATATTGCTACCCAGCCAGTATTTCATTCCCGTATTCCATTAGTGGAGTTTTAGTGAGGCTATTCCTTGGCATAAAAATGCGTTCTTGACCTTTTGGTGGAGATTTAGGGGCGCATATTGTCAGCAAAATCAAGTAAACGGTCACATTTCTTTATTTTTGGCTTAATTAGCGTACTTTTTCCAAGATCCTCCTGAGTTCTAATGATGCACATCATACCTTTACTTTCAAGTACATCAAACACTGCCACTGAAGTGTTCAGAAATTTCTGCAGCCATACAAAGAAGAGATTACTAAAAACTTTTTCTAATCTTTCCGCAATGTGCATTTAATTTCTTTTCTCTGAACAATTTCATGCATGACAGTATCCCTATTAACAATGTGCCAGTATAAATAAAAGTACATTTAAGTACTCGTTCCAGAGAGAAAATGAAATTGATGGCAACGCCCTTGAAGGGTTTAAAATAATGGTTTCTATCTAGTTTTATTCAGTACTTCCTTACTTAACAAGTTTTCCCAATAGTTGGGGTGAGTGGGGTATAGAAGTAGAACCGGAATCAGAGGCAGCGCTGGGGACTGCTCAAATGCCTGCCAAGGGTGGCAAGAAAGATTTGAGACACTTGATTTCGAAAAAATTTCAGTGGAGCTCCAACAAGAGCATGGTTCATTTGAATGGAGGAAAGCAAAATATCATAAAATTAGCTTAGGATGGCACTGTAAGAAACATGCTCAACTGCTATTTATAGAATGTTTTAAGCATGTGAAGAATTTGTAAGAAACATGCTCAATTGCTATTTATAGAATGTTTTAAGCATGTGAAGAATTTATTGATTCATTTTGATAAAGAATTCAGCTTTTTGTGCACTTGTATGAAGAAGATGCATACATGTATAATAAGAAAAAAATCTTTCTAGCAGTGGCGTACCCAGGATTTCGGCTCGGGGGGGGGGGGGGAGGGGCGCGACAAAAATTTTTTTCCAAAGAAGGTGCGTGGCGTCAGCCACGCACTCCGAAAATTTTTTTGGGCGTATTCGAATGAACTTTATACATATTTGAATTTATCAAATAAAATTGTTCTTTTAGATTCGGGGTATGTCAGCAGGTTTTGTTATGGCTGCTCAAATATTCGAGGAAATCATTCGATTATCGGTTCAGAATTCAAGCCTTAATGTTCGAATGTACCGAAATACACTAGCAACACGGGGATTTCCGTTCAAATGGGCAAACACTTCCTCTATTGAACCTATGATTCATTGCCAAGATCCGTCCACGAATGTTTCTAGAATTTTCTCACAGCGCTAATAATTCAGCTTTACGCGTTATTGAGATGAAGGCAATGCCTGTGTTGCGATTTTCATTTTTGTCTAACGAGCAGATTTTTACCAAACCTAATAGGCTTTATTTTCGCAAAATGTGACAAGGAAGCATAATCCACTTACGGTTTGAATAAAGCTTATCAGCTTACCCTGACAAAGAATAAGCAGCCTAGAATCATTCCTATCGGTTCAAGAAACCAGTGTGGAGTTGTGTTTGGGACCCGTAGTCGATTCTCAAAGTAATGATGGAATTTATCATTCATCAATGACCACCCTTGACAACTTTTTATTTTATTGCTCACTTCGGAACTGTTCTGCTTAGGAGCATCATTGTTAGCATGGCGAAATTTTTCAAAGTCTCAGAATCGCTGACTGCGTTGCTGTTCTGCGGACTTCCTTTAAGAAATTGGTTTATGTAAAAACTGAAGTATCCAGTGTTGTCCACAGAGTATGTATAAAACTAGTTTATAGCTGCGACAGTTGGATAATCATGCGAAGCTGATTTGATTATCTGATTACAGCTGCTAAGATTAGATTAGCTAGCTATAAGATGTTCGTGGATCACCATAAGTCCTTTCTTTAAATGTATTAAAAAATAGTGTAAGGTTTTTTGTTTGTATAAAGTGCTCACATTGAACTTGAGAACTGAGGAAGCTACGGCAGTTTCTTCCAGCACACGTTTGTTTTCTATCGTGCAGGTAATTTTTGATAACCACTGTATAAAAGAAATTATTAGAAGTATAGACTATAGATAAGTAAGTTACACATTCAACCGTTTGATGGTTGAAATTATTTCAGAAATCTTTTAGTTGCCATACGAAGCATACTTGGCATTCCTTGATATCTCGCAAAACTTTGAAATACATTGGGTTAGTGCAAAAATAGTGTCCGTAATGTAAGTTACCAATGTATCGAAATACACGAATGGGAACGATTCGTAGAATGAAACAAGCTCTACGAAGTGACTATTTATAAATTTTCCTAAACAAACAGTTCATATGGAGTTTCAAGCAAAATTGAGCATTTAGCCAGTAATTAGATCTTTGCACAAAAAACTTTGCAAGTTTCCTAATTGGTCACAACATAGTAGATACACAGTAATTTCCTTGCACTGCTGTAACTTTCCGCCGCTAAGATTATGAGGAAAATACGATAACCGAAAAGCTACTCCACTCCTAGTTTCCCCTCCTCTAATTCAGATAATGTACCAGGCTTTGAGTTCCCAACTCGAATCTACTTTGATTCTGAGAAAAGCCACTTTTAACACTGAGAACCCATAGGCAGACAAAATTTTCGCACAATCTGGCTATATTTCTTTTCTAATTTCTCGGCTAGATGTATATGTTTGATCACAACTATTAGTGGATGTAATTGACACTTTCCTTTTTGTACGTGCGCATCAAAAAAGATTATATCACGGAAACAACATTACATATACATTCTAAGAAAGTTTTTTGTCGAAATCGATGCCAAAGCAGACAGCGCTACAATATTTTGGACAGCCGTTCGCTACTAAATCATCTGTCAGATAATCAAATCTTACCATCTGCTGATCAATTTTCAACTACTTTAAAATTGATTATTTTAGCGCATATAGCCCTCATTCTGTTCGCGCGCGAGAGGACCGGGCTTGTCGCTACACATATGCCTTTGCGAAGCGGTCGTTTCCTGCACAAACTATGGCTTGAAATACGTCATGGCAAAAGGTGCCATATCAGTCGATTCATTGCATTTTTCAGGATGAATAAGGTTCCCGCAAAAATAGTGAATTAGTTTTAACATTGTAAAAAATCAATTGAAGTTCTCTAGCTCAATTTCACTGAATCTACAACGCTGCTGCACTTTATTAGCCTGGATTCGTCATCATTTGACGGATGACCGCAGCGCCTGCACCGCCACTGCTGGCTGTTATTAATTACTGACGCAGAAAAAGTTCGTAGTGTCACAACACTGGATTTCACAATTGATGCCACTGGCGTGCGAACAAAGCACGTCATTCGCTTCGTGCACATGTGGATGCTCACCGACGTAAAGTCTCGGAATCTTGAAGAGAAGTGTACGAACGGCTAAGACTAAGACTCTCATAGAATTGCCTTTGAAGCAGGTCTAGCTTTTTTTTCATGGATGAGAAAAACTGCTCGAGTTTCTCTCCTAAACGCTTGCAGATTGCATGACGGATAATTGGTGTGTGTGAAGCTTGACATCATGGAAATGCTGCGAAGCGAGAAATAAACCCAAACCACCATGACGTCATCCGCAGAAGGGCTTTTCTTAAAAAGCGAAGTGGAACGGCTTCCTCTCTGCCCTAATCGTTTGAGAAAATGCTTTAGTTAGCTGAATTCATCAGTTTCGGCCGGGTTTTTTGGATTATGTGTTTTCTGACCATCATGGTCACAGTTCAGTGTAGCAACTTTCGACTGAAGTAAGTTAGTTGTAAGAGTTCAGATAATTGATACTCGGACTTGTGCAGCACTTGGTGCATCACGAATAAAACGTTTTGAACATAACAAAAAGTTCTGCTATGTTCAAAGATAAAAGGCATGGATTTGAAATGTAAGATATACTCTAACTTTAAAATTGTCATTTCTGTTTTCCAAGGGAACAACGGTGTTTGATCACACATTGCAAAAATTTATCTAAACCCTTCAATTTAACATACTAATTGCAAGTATAATAGTTATGTTCAAAAATAAGGTCTAATATTGGGTGTCGCAAGAAGTACACATTTTTTGACTTGCTGCCCGTCATTACCAGGTGGCTTGATGCATATTTGTCATTTGAGGTTTTGCGAAAAGCCCATAAAAATATCTCTATACGTTTGGTACGTGAAGGATAGATCTAGAGTTAAAACTATCTACTCATTTTTTGGAAAGGTTTAGTGGCAAAATGGAGTAAAACAAATTGATCAGTTCTTATTTTCCCATCAAGTTTCCGATAAGTGAAATTTCGACGTGCTGGTAAAGTTTCAAAGCGTCGGATAGTGGTACATATTGGCATAGTGGGAATTTATCTAGCAATACCTTTCGCTTTATAGAGTTTTTCGCTTAACGGTTGAGTAAGAGTTATTTTGCCCAGTTTACTGAAAATGATCGTGAATTCTCGAAAATTAAGTTGCGCAGTGAGGAAGATAGGTGTAGCATCCATGCACCCGGCTTAGGTCTTTGTTTTTTGTCACATCATTAGACTTAAACCAAAACCATGGGATGTACGAATAACCATGTCTTGTGTGTCGGTTCTAAAATGTGTTAGTTCCTTACCAATATTCACTGTTCTGTATTAGCTTTTCTGTATCTCATCATCTAGCTACTCTTATTCTCTGTACTTGCATATCAGCTTCTTCTTGTGGTTTATCATATTTTGATAATCCATTATATTTTTACCAGTTGTCCGCTAGGCCAATGGAACCTGCCGTTTGGACCGCCTTACCGCTACTTAAGCACTTGAAATTGATTGTACTTCCATTCTTCCTGCCCCCTTTTTCCATCCTTCATTTCCTTCATATCTGTTACCTGGGCCGCAGTACCATCTTCATTCGATAGCTAAAGAAGGTCTCCTTGTTAACCTTCTTGGGCTTGTATTTGGAAAGAAAAAGAGAAAACAAAAATTACTGCAGTAAACATTGTTAGCCTTCATAATTGTTAATGCATATTCAAAGAAGAAAGAGATCTCATTCCAACTTGAAAAAAAGCTGCAGTAGTTTCATGAATTTGAAAGTTCTGCTCAATACATTTAAAAACAGCTTGCCAAGGTAGCCGTTAGAAAAACTCGTCGATAGCATAGGCAATGAGACTCGCCCGAGCTCTCCAAGGTGTAAGGGCCTGCAAAAAGTTGGTAAAAAATGGCGAGCTACTTCACGATGTGAATCAGTAAACGGCTGCCAAAATTAGGGTGTTTCAGGAAAGCTTCAAATTATTATATGATACTACCATAAGATGCTCACTATGGCAAATAGTTATAACAAATAAACAAAAACATAGCGATCAGGAGCGGTTAGTTTGTGGCATATATTAGGCTGGTGCAAAAATAATGAGCGTTTTCCTAGGACTTTTTTCAGGATAACTTTTCTCCATCAAACGTCTTTATTTTCAAGGTTTCAGCATATCGTTAGAAAGCTCTTTTCATGCTCTATCTGATAATGTTCGAAAGGAACTTCTAGCCCACTCTGTTAAGAATTTATAGAGTTTTACATAATCGCACTCAAGATTAAATTTTCGTTGCATTCATTTTTCTGGCCAGAATTTGAGGGCGAATGAAGGTGGTTTATCGAAAATTTAGCCGCTATATGTAATGGAAATTGTTTACATTATGCATATTCAACCATATTTTTTCAAGTTATCTAAAGTGAGATATCGGCGGCTTAACATGGGTAATGGTTATGGTCATTTAAGAGCCCATAACCTTCTTTTCTTTTGTAAAATGCAGTCGCTCAAACTTTGCTCATCTCTGTAAGCGTGAGGATAGGAGTCCCATTAGCGGTTTCTGCAGAAACATCCAGCTTTTCAGTACGCAGAAAATCAAAAAATTCTCTACTTCGGGGTTTTGAGGCCTACTGAAAAAATGCTAGAAAAGTTGATATTTTTGAATTTCCATTTTTCCCTCTTCGCTAATCTTTTTTCTCCAAGCCGTTTCCATGTATATTTGTACTACTGGCTTGCGGCTACAAGATAGGCTGCTTATAAATCATAAGAACAAAGTGTGAAAGGAATTATGTTCTGTCAAAAACAAGACTTCAGAAAAAAAAACTCTTTTTGTTTTTCAGTCCATATTTTTCTGCCCATATGAGATATGAGTACAGTTCAATGTGCGCTGTACTGCGAAAGATTCGCTGCATCTGATGGTCTTTATCACATTTCAACAGTAGATTTTATAGAAAGTTATAGCAAGTTAAAGTGAAAAATGGGAAAACACTCATTATTTTTGCACCAACCTAATATTTTGCTTCAGAATAAGGCAAAACCGTAACAAGTCATAACTTGTTAGCTCAGCGTGTTGTATGCCGATTGCCTTCCGCACAGATGTCGGTACGCTCTATATGGTCAGAAAAGTATGATCATTTCCCAAACTGGGAATTAAGAATACATAGAGTTTCATAAACAAACAACACAATATTACAAACGCATTTCTACTCTACATAGATATGCATCGATCTTTCTGCGGTAATCTCTTCTGATTGCGATCCGCGATAATAGCTCCTTTATAGTTAGTTTTCATGATATCAGCCCATACAGCAAAGTAAGCTCTACAAAATAATTTTCGAACAGTTGCACCAGTTTCACTCTTCGCGAAGTTTGAAGCCAAAAACTGAGGATCTAAAGGCTTGATAGATCGAGGAGAAGGAGA